ATATACAAAAAAACTTAGAGAAAATTATTATAAATATCAAATATTATTAATTATATATTATGATATTTATATAATTTTGATAAATTTGAAACAAATATCATTTTTATAGTTATTATTTTTGAGTTTCTATTTTTAATTGAAAAATCTCTTTATAATTACATCTCTTTATAGTCATTTTATTTTGCTATTCCAAATATAATAACTATAAAGAATTTGAATATATTTATATTTATATATTATTTTTCAAGATAAAAAATATTTATTTTTATAAAATAAGTTAATTAAATTAGGATAAAACTTTGTATAAATTAAAAATAATTTTCTTTTTTATTCTTTTACTTAAGTATTTTTGAGATATTTTAAAGAAGTGGATTTTAAATATGTTCAAAAAATGAAATTTAATTAATTCTGAAATTTTAAATAATTAATTAATAGATATTTAATAAAATTAAAATATTAAATTTAATAGAATATAATTATAATTTTAATCTAATATGAAAATTAAATTATTAATAATAAATATTATTTAATTAAATATTAAATTTTTATATATAATATTTTTTAATAAATTTTATTATATTAAATTAGCCTTATATTAGAATATAATTATAATATAATCATTTAAAAATCTGACTTTTATTAAATAAAATAAAATAATATATATTTCTTATCTAATATTTATTAATTAAAAATAAATTTTAAAATTAAATATAATAATATTATATTTAAATTAGTTTATATATGATAAAGATAATGAAAAATCAAATAAAACTTTATATATTTTAAAATTATTTTTTTTTAAATTATACTTAAAAAACTATTAACAATTTATTAATATTTAATAAAAAACTAATTGCTAATACTAAATTAATATTAATAATATAAGTTTAGTAATTTAAAATTAATTTGATATTTCAAAAAAATAATACTTAAACTATATTAAAAAAGAAGTTATAAAATAGATCTAAATAAAAAAATCATGATTAGTATGATTTCAATTTTTTTAACTTTATAAAAATATTAGTAAATTATTGAAAAATAATGTTAAAAAATTAAATACTTTTCAAAGAATTATAAAATAATTCAAGATAATTCTGAAGAATTAATTAGAATTATTCTGAAATATATATATATAGATCTTATTAAATTTTCTATTTTGTACCCATTAACGGTATTTTTTGTCAAAAACTTTATATGAACACGCTCTGCTGAGCTCTGACTATACAAAAATCAATTTTGAGGTTGATAATTATGAAGTATTTCAAATTTACAAAAAATAATTTTCGTTACCTTAGAATTTATAAAAATACAGTAGAAATAAACTGTTTGTACAAAATAAATATTCATTTAATGACTTAAACTATTAAATATTGATTTATATATTGAGTTTGAAGCAACTAAATTACTGTTGACGATAGTCCATATTCTTCAGAGCACAGAAATTCTTTTGATGCTACCAAAATTATACTGGTTAATTCAATTATTCTCAAGCATTCAACTAAAAATTCAAATATATTTAGCGAACAAATAAGTTTTTAGTGACAAACGTCTAACATAACAGGGGTCTAATAATGAATTGTTGTAAATTTTTTTTGTTCACTAGCATTTTAATGTAGAAACCTTTCAAGTACATGTAATACGTGTAGTTGCTAAAAAGCTGTATGAATTTGTTGCAATTTCATACTTAAAAACACAAATTATGGAATTCCTGTAATTGCTTTACTTAACGTTAATTGAAAATAGCTTTATGCGCTTAATCTATAAGTTTATTCATTGTCATTTAAATTAAATTTATTTTTTTTATTATTAATTAATGGATTGGTTTTAATATGTTTTATCTTAATTAAAACTTAATAATTTTAGCAACGTAATGAATTATCCAAAAGATGTTCTCCATTAAATAGTCATCACAAAAAGTAACGCCCAATTTTTTTAATGGATAATATTTCGGATGTATTTTATTTCTATCTTATGTATATGAAAGTATTTTTTACCACAGCTAATACATTATTAGTTCTTCATATGGCTCTAATAACACTTTGATTTCTCAAGGCATTGAGCCTACAACCTCCTCAAAAGCAAACACATCGAATTTCCTTCAGAGTAACCTTGAGCTTTTTCACAATCCTTAGGAAGCTTTACATTTTAGAATATTGTTCCCCAAAGACTTGCAGACATTTTTATGAAGTTTGGGTCATGAGAACGCAATATTCATTGATTTCTCTATTTAATTTGATTCATGGATTCTTTTTCCCAATGCAGTTCAAGTTTTATTTTTTGAAACATCATGTTTTCACAAATCAATGAACAAATTATATTATGTAAAGAAGCCAATTACCTTAGAGAATCTTAGGTAAGCTTTTGCATAAATTTTTTGCTACAAATGTTGTGAAATGGCTCAGGATGTCTTTTTTAGCTTATTGTATAAGTGCATTTTTTTCTTGGTTGTTAAAAGCCTATGTTCTCCCAGACAATGATAAATTTTTGTTTTTCCTGTATCTTTTGTATTTGGCAAGAGACCATTACACTATCATCAGGTTACAACACATTTTTCTTGAAAGGAATCAAATTACCTTAGAGTATCTTCAGATAAGTTTTTGCACAGATTTTTTATTACAAATATCATGAAATGACTCAGGATGTCTTTTTTAGTTTCTTGCACATACATCTTTTTCTTGATGGTTATGAGCTTATGGTCTCTCAGATAATGGTAAATTTTTGTTTCCTGTTTCTTTGTTCTTGTCAAGAGACCATTATACTTTACTGGGTTATGTCACATTTTTCTTGCAACTTGCTAGACACTCATAACTTTAATAAAAATCACACTATTTTTATTCTTGTCAAAGATGGCCAACTGGTATGACAGATATCATATTTTACACCTAAAAAAATTTCGCCTAGTGTATGTTTAAAAGTAAAAAAAGAAAATAGATGTAATAAATAACAAAAAGTGGGAAAACGCGACGCATATATATTTTTCTGTGCTGTTACACATGCAAATCGAGCGTTACTTTTTGTGGCGACTATCGCTATACAGTGAATCTAAAAACTCGATATAGTAAAGACTAATTTAAATCCTTTAATATAGTAACGGTAAGGTTGTGCTCAAAAACAGTTCCATATCATAAATTTATTAGGCATGTGTACGGCTATATCAAAGATTCACTTGCAACTATAAAGCTAAGTTCTGGCAATCACTCGGAGAAAAATTTGCACCTCGTGACTTTCATATTTAATTCCTGAAATTTCAAGTCTTACATACATGTATTTACTATCGTAGGATTTTAATAAGAGATTTCTACCATAAGTTCGTCCATAAAATGGCGGCATGGCTTTCCATTTGGCACCTCAGGATCATTCATATAAGGAGTAAATAATAACAAGCATACGCATAAAGAAGAAATTTTGCACATTTTCAAAGTCCAAGAATTTATCCGCGATATGTTCCAATTTATTTTATCGAGGTTGTTCTATTCCAGCATCAAGGTGAATTCGATACTTATGATTGTAGTAGCACTTGTTAATTTTGGGAATACTGCGATATGAGCTAACAGCACTCATTATTATAGTAAATTTTACAAATTTCGATATGTTCACTTCCGCGATGAGTGCTTAAATTCACAATACTCATGATTATAAATAAATGTACTTGGTGTCATATGTACTGTATGTGGACGATGACTTTTTTATCATAAACTAATTTTATATTTTGAGTGTTCTAATGGAAATAATGATATTGACAATTTAACAAAATTAATCTTGCAAGATTACAATTTATAAAGCAATCTAGTTGGATGGACCATTGGATAGACTTTTCACGTGGGATCATTAAGAGAATAAACGGCAACGAGATGGGAAAATCAAAGTTGCGTTGCAATCATGGCACAACTCAGAGCAAATTATTCGAAGTTTATATATGAGGTAAATTAGCACTTCTAACATGAAGGTTGCCTTTGTTTTCTAATACAATCAAATATTTCAAGAATAGATTCAAAATGTACTCTTGATTATTATGGCGATATGCAAAAGATGGCGATTCAATACATGTGTATTAATATTAATTCCAACTACGAGAAATTGCTTTGGAAGGAAAAATTAGACTATTTACATAATAATGAATAATCTAATAAAAATTCATGAGTAAAGTTTGTATATAGTGATTTCATCTGGAAATATATTAAATGTCTAACATTCCTTTCCTCAAATTGCTGATCTTGGACTTACCATTCCAGCAAATACATGTATAGAAAAATCTAATCAAGAAATTCCTATGCCAGAAAGCAGAACAACTATTGAAAAACTTTACGAGTTTATTGACTCTTTCTACTGTATGACTATCGCTATTTCAAGAAACAGAATGTTTTGCATTTTCAGCACTATAACTCTTTAGAACGTCCTAAAACAAATAATGAAATTGAGAATGGGTTGACAGAAACTAAAAGAGCACTTGATGAGGAGATGAAATAACAAAAAGCATTTCCTAAAATATCAACAAATAAAACGAATGTAATTCTGTAATTTCTGTGCATACAGTGTAATTTTAATAAAAATGTGAAAAAGAAATTTTTAATACAAAAATTACATAAATAATGTATATATAGAAGAATGAAAAAGCATATTACATGTACAGTACATTTACAGTGTCTCAGAAAAACCCTGGAGTAAACTTATTTATACTCCTTTGTATATGCATAAAAAAATTAAGCTCTCATCTGATTTGAACGAACAACCAGACTTCGATTTGAGAAATGATCGACGATAATTCAAGTTCACTTATAAAAAATGTTGGGAAAAGACAAATGCATTATACATGACATGTACATGTACATGAGCCTCTGAAAACGATAATTGGCGTAATTCAACAATAAGAATTCCTTAAAGAACAATTTTGTTGTTATAACAAATGTTATAAATTACCTACTCTCATAATTGAAACCCTTACATTAAAGGGTTCAATTGCTTCGTTTCTCTCTTAATACAAAACCCATTCATATAATAAAATGACTAATTCAAATATAATTTATTCAAAAATAACTGTGATATCATTGGCGTTACTATTCGTTTGCGTATTTTTCCAAGCTTTTGAATCTAAATTTCATGAACTTATAAAAAAGGATTTGATTGCGAATTTCAAACGAATTTTTGCTCCGATCTCGAATGAAACAGTAACGACTTGGTCTGGGAGAGAAATTAGGCCGAAATATTTTTTTCAACCTGAATCTCTTGAAGACATTCAGGATATCATAAGAAACGCAAAAGAAACTGGGAATAAGATTCGTTGTATTGGTCAAGGGCACACGTCGAGCTCGTTGTCAGTCACAAAAGATTATCTGGTGGATATCAATAACCTAAATAACGTGAGTGAAATAAAATGGACCATCGAACACGGATGGACAGTTACTGCTCTAGCAGGTATTTATAATCATTTTATTTAGAAAGCAGTCTATTTTTAATTAAACCACGTATATTTTCTTGTTATAAATTCAGGCACTCGAATCAATAACATCGAACGCGCATTATTGGAAAATAATCCACCTTTGGCTTTCGAATCAATGACCTATCAGAATTTTTTTACAGCTTCTGGAGTTGTTGCAGTTGGTTGTCATGGTGCCAAAACTGGAGGACCAAGTGTATCTGATCTAGTTGTCAAATTGCAAATAGTTACTAGTGATGGTACATTAAAGGAGTTCTCTAATGAAAAAGATGCAGAAGAAATGAACGCAGCACGATTAAATCTAGGTAAGCCTTAATTAGAAAAGATTGATATCTCTGATTAATGAATTACAATTTATTTATTCTTGTTTCGTAACGGTAAGGTCTATTCGGTATTATCTATTCCGTTACTTTTCGCGTTGAGCCACTTTTTAACTTGCGCGCATATGATATTATACTCCCATTAAAAGGCTGGCTTAACCCGGAAAACATCAAACAAAAGTTTGATAATTCCGATTCTTTGATTATTATATATTTTCCATTTAACCAAGGCAAAGCTGATATTTCTAATGATGAGATTCGTATAAAACAGTTTGTTAGAACACAAGATCCAGCAACCTCTCAAAATTCGACAACAACGAATAACACAATCCCTAATAATTCTTCTGCACAAGCTGTACCAGACATACTCAAGAATCCCGAGCTAACCCCCATGTTAAAAGGAGAACAATGGAAAATAGTAAAAAATTCAATTAAAAACGTTACCTTAATCGCCACCGAAGCTTTGCATTATCGCTCTGATATAGAGACCGTTCAAGGTCATGATGTAGAATTCGCGCTTAAAGTTGATTCGGATTTCACGAATGTTGCAACCGAATTTTCGTATTTTATAAACAAAGTAATGGCATTGTTTTGAAGTTATCATTAGAGGAATGTCAAGTTGAATTTATCTTTGTTTTACTTAGATTGGAGAATACGCGGAAAAAGGCAAATTTCCAATTAACGTTTACGGGTTGATTAGAATGATACGGGCTTCTTCGGCTTTATTATCTCCTGTATTTGACAACGATCCGAATGCAATTTATTGTTTCCTTGAGTTCAGTTCATTGAAGGGCACTCGCGATTATCCAGAATTTTATGAGGAAATTACCGCAAGATGGATCAAGAAGTATAAAACTAGGTTTGTTATCATAAATTTAGCGTTGTTTCAAATATACTGAATACATCTATTAATTAATAATTTCCTAGACCACATTGGGCTAAAGAATGGGAACCTGCACCAGGCATTCAAAAATTCCTTCACGAAGAATTAGGTGAACGTCTTGCAAAGTTTGAGAAAAGTCGTGCTAAATATGATCCTGAAAAAACATTTTTCGACAACAAGATATTGCAAAAAGTGTTTTATGGTTAAAGACTTTTCAGCGAATTTATCATTATTCTTATATGACAAAATTACCTAGCGATAGTAATTGTTCCAATAAATGACGTCATGAAATAAAAATATATGTACATGTATTATTCAGAGACTCGTATACGCAATTCTGACAATCATCTGCATGTAGTTGAAATTGATACTTTTGTTCTAATATTAAAATATGATATCGCTGAAATCTGGTATCGATATGATCGTAACCTTATTTAATATCGATACTATTTAGGGGGTATATTCATGCAGCGCAAATCTATATTGTGGACACTTTAAATTTAATCAAAACAAAAATAAAAATTTTTAAATTTTTCAAAAAATTTATAGGAAATTATTATGATATAAAATAAATATGCGATATCTTGATACCCAGCGAACGAAATGGCACAAAATTAACACCATTTGATTTGTCATGGCTAGACGAATCGGGATGGTGGTATTTTTGTGCGATTCCGACCACTGGAGAGATATCGCACATAAATTAAATGCATAATTAATTTGGCATTACGTATCATTATCAAGTCATTAAACAAAAAATAGTATGTATTCACCAACTACGTTTTCATCTATTCCATCAACCAATGATAATACATATTCGTCAAGAGTAAACAAAACGAAAGAAAGGCGTTTCGAGGAAAAAAACATTTGAGTGGTACTTGAAATCAGCAGAAGGTGGCGATGCATTAGGACAAAATAACCTTGGTTCGTGTTATCGTGATGGAACAGGAACACAAAAAGATGAGAAAAAAGCATTTGAGTGGTATTTGAAATCAGTAGAAGGTGGAAATACTAGAGGACAATGTAATCTAGGTTGGTGTTATCAAAATGGAATCGGAACACAAAAAGATGAGAAAAAAGCATTTGAGTGGTACTTGAAATCAGCAGAAGGTGGAGACGTGACTGGACTAGAGATGTGACTATGCGCATTATGCGCATAGTTACTAACCGATATCGTAAATGCCCATACACAATTATGCATATGGTTAAGTTCATA